TATCTGTATTTGCACTCGGCTGCCTCCCCACACCAGCTGCTATTTTTCTTTCTTTCTCGCTGTTCCTCTTCTACGCTCTCTTTTGCTCGTTTCCTTGACCCACTGACAGTCTTGGCCACATGCTCCCTGACCCGCCATGCTTCACGCTTCCTCACCTATCTCATCCTGTTCCACTCTAATGTCCCTGCACCTTTGTGTTCTATGTTGTGAAGAAGAGAACAGAGGGCTGATCAGCGTACAATATAGTTGGAGGGGATTTAAAAACAAATACATTATACTTTACTGGATCCATGCACACGCTGCTACAGTATGGCCATGAATTATTCACTTTGTTTTCACTGTGCTGGAGTGCAAGGGGAGTGAGAGGGAGTGAAGTGAAAAGAAATCTGAATCGAAGAGTCAAGAAGCAGAGGCTGTTAGCTGGTGCATAGAAGCTGGTCTTATAATTCAAGTCCATTCTCTTAATGTTCCCAGCACAGGGTGGTCAGACACAGGATCTGAATTGCAGTGTTAACCAGATACACATTCAAAGGTGTTGGTATGATCTGTTGCAAGTACAGCTATTGGAATCATTACATAATCCTCAATATAAGATAGCTATGCCGTTCCTGCTCAGTGTTCTCAGCATTGGATCTCAGCTCTTTGCAGTTGCAGTTGTGGTGGCTGCATTGTGCTGTGATCTTTAGCTCTCATTACCAGTCGAAAATGAGATCGGATATCTGGGTGCCTTGTTCAGGAGTGAGGGGAGAATAGAGAGGCAGATTTGTGCAACGTCGGCAGCGACGTGAACTCTGTATCGCTCTGTGGTAAAGAAGGAACGTAGACAGCTAATGTCTACGTTCATACCCTAATCTATTGTCAAGAACTGTAGGTTGTAAATCACAGTTTTATTCATCCTGGCTGGTGCGACTTATAGTCTGGAAAATACGGTACGTCAGTTTTGCGTAGAGACAGTATTACATTTCTTATTTGATCAATTGTCAGTGCAAGTTTTATTAAATGAGTGTTTAATCAAAGGTGTTCACGGGAACATAGTTTCAGTTTTTATTAAATGACTGTTTAATCAAAGGTGTTCACGGGAACACTTTTTGTTTGTATAGCAGAACAAACAAATAAAAGCAGTGTCATACTGATAATAAACTGTTCAACTGGTCCGTCATGTTAAATACTTTTCTGTAGCAGAAATGGACAAAGATTCTACCTGCATGGTGAAACAATAGGTGGCGAAAAGAAGTTTTCTTTTTTTTTTGACTAATAATCTCCAAAGATAATCAATCATTTTGATACTACTGGTGGAATTCTGCTGGGTAGACCTGTGGGGGTATTATTATCAGATTGTAAGGTAAATTTGTTTATTAAATTAATATATTCTTTGTATGCAGATCTCTTCTGGTGCTGTAAACTGTTTACTTTGATTCTTTTTATCATTCTGCGATTCAAAAAGATTAAATCTCAACCTGTTTCTCTCCGTTAAGAGAGCGTTTCTGCATGATGTTATTTAGATTTCTTATTCCATGTTTGCAGGATTCGTCCATTCAAATTCCGTGGTTATTTAGAAAATGACTCATTTGACAAATTCTCACGGCATCAATCACTTTATAAGATGTAATTTTGTTAAGGAAACAACAAAGATTAAGAGACACTGTCATTAATTTAACAGTTTTTACCCTAAAGCTGTAGCAAACTTCAAGGGGACATAAGCTACTTTAATGACAAATTAATTTGGTTCCTTTATGTCTGTGTTATAAAATGTTAGCAACATTTTGGAGGATTGAACACAGCTGGAATTTGAACACACCTGTTAAATGGACAGTTTCTATGCCTTTAACTTTAAATGGTAACGGGCCTCTTCTGCAGGGGCAGGGGGCCGAGTGCGACCTGAGGACAGGTTCTTGTCTCCAAGGCAACAGTTTAACACTGAGCTAGTCTAACACTCATCGCATGCCTGTCTAGAACATGCACAGTCAAGTGTTTTTCTTTTTTGTCTGCATGCACAGCAAATTGACATAAGCCCTTCTGTCAGGTATGGTAAACTGACAGGTCCAACCACGCATATTTGACACAGACCAAAAACATGATAAAGCTCCAGAACATTGTCAAGAACCAAGATTGAACCTGGATGTTTCGCCGCCGTTAGAAGTAAATTTAAAAAAAAGTTGTACGATCTCACTAGCTGTCTCCCCGTTATTACAAACGACATCAACATCCAGTGCTTCATGTGTTTACAGACTATAGTTTGTATTCTTTTAGCGCTCTATAAATGTGTGCTTAGGCTGTCTCCCCGTTATTACAAATGACGTCAACATCCAGTGCTTGTTTGTATACTTTTAGCGCTCTATAAATGTGTGCTTAGCTAATGGGTTGTCCATGATAGTGGTATATTAGTCACTTAGACTAAATAGTGGGTCCTTGCACAGCTAGAAGTGCTCGCATTTACAATCATATCTCTGTGATGTCACTCGGTGGGTGAAATCAGGATGCAGACAAATACCAAAAGGTTAGTTTTGCATACTATGACCTCTTTATCACATACGCAGATTAAATGACGTGCTAAATCCTTCAGTTTTGAGCCACGTGTCCTGCTTTTTCAGTGCTAACCAGTGGGACTGTCCAACCAGCCCTGGTGTCAAGCAGAGAATTGACCAGTTCAACTGCAGCATCTCCACCAGTCAGAAACTGGTCTTTTTTTTTTATTTTACCATTTACTTCCTTGTTGTCCCTGTCAGTCAACTAAAGATGTGTTGACATTCTTAGGCTGTTCTAAGACAGCGGTGTCAAACTCAAATTCACAGTGGGCCAAAATGAAAAACTGGGACAAGGTCACCGCCCAAACTTAATATTTATTCATTCGTGCATGTTTTCCCTTCTCTCCAGATATGGAAACAAACCTTAGTTTTGCGTAAACATTGAATCAACCAAAGCTTAATATTATAAACACATGAGAAATTCAATTTTAAATGAAACTCACATCAGTAGTATTTGTTTCTTATTATGTTAGTACTACAAATTCAGCCCAGCCACCTCACATACACATTTGATATCTCACGGGCCAAGCACTTAGGCTAAACGTGATGTTTTCTATAGTAATGGTGCCCTCTGCTGCCTCGGGCTTAGGTTGGTCCTGCAGACTACCATACAGATGGGTAATGCAGCACCTTAGGACCCTCAGGCTGACATCGTCAGGGGCAGTAATTAACCCTTTCCTGCTGTTTTCTAAACCTGGTCACTTGCTGTGCTTTTACTGTCCACAAAGGTCTGATCCCTTCAAGTGGGAAAAACTGGGTAAACAACACAGGGTCACCTACTTCAATTGTGTGAAGTAAGTGTGTAAATGTGCTGACTCATGATGAGGAATTGTTCAGGTAAAGCAATCCTGTGGTGGTCAATGGTTTTCTTGATAGTGTCCTTGACCTGGCTGCAAAGAAATGTCTTTACAAAGTGACTGAGAAGTATGGCTCAGAGGAAAACCATCTTGTGTCTGTGTCTTGACCTGGTTAAGCATTAAAGTCAAATATGTATTGATGTGCCAGGCCTGTGGGATCAGTAAAGTTCAGTCTAATCTAATCTAATCTAATCTAAGTGATGTACTTTTTACACTGTGGATCAAACAATCTTTGGTCAGACAGATTTATTTGTTGTATCTTTTCTAGAAGAAGTTTAGTTTCGAAATGTATCAAATAAATAATAAAAGACAAAAAGCAACAAACAAAAAAAATCATTGGCTAGTTGAATCAGTTTTGGTACCATTATTTGGTATCATAAAAATTCATTAGCAGAAATGCTTTTTCATTTTCAGAATAATCCTGCATTATTTTTGGCTAAAATTAAAAATCAATCTTCCAAACTGCATTTTCACTTTGTTGTTCAACACCATTCTGTAACACAGTGGTTCTCAACTGTTCACAACAGGGCTCTTCCTGACACTATCGTCCAATCCTGGTAGAGTTAGCTTCAGAGTTTGAGCTAAATACAGGATCTGAATCGGATGCCCGTGACAGACTTGATCAGATTATCAAGGCTTGGCTGCATACTCTGCCGTCACAGGCACCGATGTCAACGTAGTTTCCCTAGATAACAGTGACAGGATGCGGTGGTACAGTTTTCCCTCTCTATATTGTGGTTCTCCTTTTGGTTCCTCAGTACATCACAACTGTTTTTGCTGAATCGATTTTTTTTTTTTTTTTCATTTTCAGAATAAATAATTTTATAAATAAATAAATTTGAGATATGTGCATTTGCGACCGATCGCTGGTAGCTTTGTTTACCTAGATGAGATCACAGTACACAGCATACTATTGGCTTATACCATGCGTACTCGTTGTGCTACTGCCTAATTGAGCATGCTGTTAATACAGTCTAGGGAGGGTTGATAACAGTGTAAATAATATAATAACTCTCGCTTCTATTATTTTGCGGTTGATCTTGGAACGCAACTCCCGCTTTTATAGAGGGACCCTTGTATTTGGGTTTTCAGTACTTACTTAAGTTTAACCATATCAAGACAGTTGAACCAAAGGAGCAGCGTGAAGTATGATATTCACATGTGTGTTATTCTTGGACAAAATACTGGTCTTAATGCAAACATACAGGCAACTAATACACTTTGTTGTCAAACTGTGACTAAAGGATTATGTTTGCTAATTATGATCATTCACTATATTGCCCCTTGAGATTGTTATGCTGTATTGTAATGCCTTAATGTCTGTGTTTAAACACCCCAACAACCTGGTCACAGCCCTAAGATTAATGTGCTTCTTCTTCTTTATTATCTTCCAGGACAATAATCTTTAGTAGGCGACACATTAGACAATGAGATCCATTATGGATCCATGCAAATGAAAACATTATAGGCCTCGCATTCTCTCTAATCCCTTTTGCATTTGTGATGTTTTTTTTTTGTTTGATTTTTAATCACCGTGCCCTATTATCTCTTTCTCTTTTCCTATTCCCTTCATGCCTCCCTCCTTGCTTGCCCCATCTCTCCCTCTTCACTCTCCCAGGCGAGTCACGCACGCCGCAACTGAGTAGTGCGAGCGCGAGTCGTTAGTGCATGGAAGTGGGTGTGTTAGAAGAGAAAGAGAGAGAGAGAGCAACAGACTGAGACCCTAACACAGAGCATGCCTCTGCGTCCGGCAGCAGGCAAACATGAGCCACCGAGCCCTCCACGGCAGGACCAGCCGCAGCAGCAGCAGCAGCAGCAGCAGCAGCAGCAGCACACACACACACACTCGCACACAAACCCAGCCAACGGCAGCCAGAGGGGCAGTACTGACAACGGCAGCTCCCGGGAAGAGGACAGCATTCTCTTTCCTGTTGGTGCTCCAGATCTGTGTTCTGGTGCACACAGTGCAGGAGCACCCATGGAGGAACCCACAGGCAACACTGTGGTCATCCGCATTGGCATCCCTGACGTACAACAGACGGTAAGTGTTCATTCTTTGCCACTGCTGTATGGAGTGGATTGGGGGGGGGGGGGGGGGCCCCCCCCCCCCCCACCTCTCTGACTGGATGATCCTCTCCTTCTATGTCTGCTTTATGAATATGAATAATGCAATCATGAAACTAAATAAACCTTAGTTTCTCTTTCACGCTCTTCATTTTTTTCTCTTCCTTTCATTCTTTTTTAGTATTCTGGTATGTAATACGTAGAAAAGCTGTATTTTTCTGGCTGGCTTCTGGGGGTTCCCACCCTTCCACTGATGTCTCTAATAAATCTACCGCTTCATTAACTGGGCTTCAGCTGACTTTGACAACTGGACATTTAGGGTGAGAGTAGGAAAGCTCCAGTGTGTAAAGGGGAGAAGAAAACACACACACACACACACACACAGACAGCTATGTGAGGCATTGTAAATCCAGAGAAGACACAAAGTAGAAAATGAAGATAGTTACAGTTGAAATGTGGAGCTTTATTTGCTGTCTCTGCTTCTGCTGTGTGCCAAGACAGACAGATCTAATCCAACATTCATCTGACTGAAGTCTTTTACCCAGCAGCTTCTCCTGAGGAGGTAGTCTGTGTCTGTTAAGGATTGCATCCACCCAAAAAAAAAAAAAAAAAAAAAAAAATGAAACACCTTTGTCTTTTCTTGCTTTTGTTTTTCCTTCTATATGTACTTGATATCATGAGGATGATACAGTACACAAACATGTGTTTAACAAGTCACATCACAGACAGGGTTTGTGGAGAAAAGCGTGAAAAACGCATCTCAAACCAGTCATTTCTGGCAGAAATAAATGAATGAATTTAGCTTAGCATGCGGTATCAAAAGGTTGTCTAAAATTGAACTTTTATTAGTAACCAGATGTAAATGCATGAAAAATCGCTCTCTCCCTGAAGTCTCTTTTATCCTGACAGAGCCACACACATAAAGTCAGCATATATTAAAAGTTCAACGGCCCTTTTATATCACGACACACCATTAGGTTCTTTATTACTAATGTGCCTCTGTGTCAAATCGCTCCTCATCTCCTGCTCTCACAGCGCACACAGGTGACACTTTCGGCAATTGGTTTAGGAGAAGGCAAATGAACCCTGCACGGCCACTGTCTGTATTCTACTGCCAATGTCCTCACTTGCCTCTCTGTATTGGCCTCGTTTTAAGTGTACTTTGATTTTCCTTACTGGACACTGATGGCGAAAGCAAGAGGCAGTTTGTTTGTCATTGTTGATTACCTACTTGGCTGAAATGACCCATTGTATCCAAATGAGGATCCAGCGTTGCATACCAAGAAAAAGAGTCAGGAGAGATAGAAGGGGCGCAGTTGAAAGGAAAGCAGAAAAATCCCAGAAGGTGCTGCACAATTACTGGCAGTGAACAAAAATGGTGTTTGAGTCAAGCTCACACACCCCATTCATTCACACAATCAGGTCTTTCTGTACTTGTGGGGACTGTAGTTTTTTGCCTAACCAGACATTAATTCTGCCCAGGACAGGATTTGTCCTTAAAATCACAACCAAAATAAAAGGTTAGAAATAAAAAGGCTTTTGTTTTGATAGTGTGTTAAGACTGAACAGATCTAAGGAACATTATTTTAATAGCCTTGCGTGGTCTAATGGTTCTAGTCAGTTGTGTCTAAAAGAAAAAGAACACAGATTTCTCCTGCCTGTTCTTTATATCCAGGCAGGATGAAATTCCTGAGGACTCGAGCACTCGTCCTCGTTCCATGTTATCCTAATTGCAATAGTACTACATGGCATTCTAACGAACCTGAATGGACGGATGGCGTGATATGAGGTTAGCATACAAAATATGATTGGGTTGGGTGAATAAATGAAGTGAAGGAGGTCCGAATATTTGACCAAATCAGATCACCTGCAGATTTTGAAACTATTAGTGTAACATTTTACCAGATTCTAAGCAGTATGACGTAACGATAGACAGAAGGACAAAGAAAGGGAAAATCCTCGAGACATCTGGGTATTTGTGACAAATGGTCAATTTGTGTTTTGATGAGTTACTCCAACAGGAGTTATATGTACTCAGAGGATTAGACTGGATTACTCTGAATTACAAAGGCTTTCTTAACTCTCGAAATCAAGTCCAAAAAACTTTTCTTTCAGAAGATAGTGACAGCTGGGTGAAGATCGGGCAAAAGTCGCTGCAGTAGGCGGTGATTTAGACTAAACACAACAGGAAGCAGGGAGATAGTGTGGATGTATATTTCACAAGTGACTCACGCTGGGGAGCAGATGCTGCCAACGTGGACTACATCAAAGTCAATAGTTAAATCAATAGTATGCTGCATGCGTGTAACCGCAGCTACGATGTAGGAAAGCAGGGACTTCCAGGACTGTTCTAAGAACATTAGGAAGGAAGCAATAAAAGAAGCTAAAGTTGGCAACAGAGTGACTGACAGTAGTTTGGAGACAATCATTTTTGAGAAAGTGAAGCGAAAATTGTGCAATCGCGACTCCTCAGCACCGGTAAGGATGAATGAAAATGCCTTTCCTATTTATAGCTTTGTTCTTTTTTCAGTTGTGTTTATCTTTTTTGTTAGATCTAATTATTTTCACCAGTTCTTTGTATGAATCTGTACACAATATACTGTTGAAAAAGTTTGAATAAGCAATCATCCGGGAAGGAAGTCCAGGAAGTTCGAAAACACAGGTTCCTGTGTGTGTGTAAATATATATATATATTGTTCCATATGTTGTTTATTTATTTATTTCCGTACTAGGATTCGCTGCAGATATAGGTAGGGTGCCTCTGATTCTCACAGATTAAAGTCACTGTTCTTTTTACACATCCAGACATTGCCTATCACCAGAGAACAAAAACACGTCTTTAACAGAAAACCATATCAACCATACCAAATTGAACTCTTTCTCAGTTCTTCTCTGACATGCCTTCAGGCTGCTCCTCAGATTTTTAATTTTTTTAAACTAATATTAAAGCCTTGGAACTTCTCTCTCCACCAGATTGTTGTGTGTTCCTGTGTAATGAAAATAATCCAATGTCAAAGACAGGTTGACACTAAATTAACCACAATGAAATAACAAAAGAATAGATGAAAAACAATTCATAAAACTGTCGAACCCATTACATTTTTAACCATGTTAAAATATGTTTTAATATCAAATATACAGTATATTTTAATACAAAAATGTAATCTTCTGAAGTGGTCCATCCAAACAGTCATTACATATACAGTAAAGCAACCTCACAGCGATCTGTCACAATCCTTCAATAGAAATGTACTGATATACTGATATATGGTCTGTGTAGTAGTTTCACACAATCTTTTGAGATAAAGAACTGAAATCACTCGTTTTTGGAGATGTATTTATTTATTGTAGAGCATGGAGAGACTAGCGTACCCTTCTTCAGATGCCATTTCAAAGGAAATTTGAATGTCAAATCGTAAACAGCCAGAGCTACACACAATTGGTCATTAGTCATCACCAATCACAGTCATGTTTGTTGGGAGTGGGAGAGTGTGCGTTGTGCTTAGATTGTCTTTTAAAGTGCCTTGATGTGGATGGTAGCCCATTAATTCCAGTTAATGGAATCAATGCTGTCCCCAATGCTGCCCCCTCCCCACACCATCCCACGGGAGTGCGGTGATTATAGTTCAGCTACAGCAAGTAAACCCTCAGGTGGTGTGTCATTTAGAACACTGCCTCGCATACATCTAAATGATTGTACAGAATGTATGAAAATGTGTTGGCCATAGGCTTTAAGCCGGGGGCTGGAGGCCGGGGGGTCAAAATCTAATGAGCAGGGCCACTGTTGCCACTGTTATTTCATGAGGGGCCAGCATCAGTGTTTTTTGTTCAATATCGATGTGTAGTTTACACATCAGTAGTTTAGCAATAGTTTTCTCATTCTTAATTTTTTAATTAATGAAGAGCAAAATGTAATTATTTTTGAATTCTGTTCTGGGCAAGAAATGGTCCCAGGGCCAGGAGTTTGACACCACTGCTGCAGAGCCGGTGGAGCACATAGAGGTCAATAAAAACAACATGTGCCTAGGAAATCATTTTAAAAAATGACCAGCAACATTTTGCAAATTATCATGAATTGTTAGTTTGAAGTTAGGTATTTAAATCTCAAAGATGGCTGCCTGGAAAGTTAAACAAATTAAAAAATTAAATAACTTCAGAGACAGAGGGTGATTGTCTTTAATTGCATCTAAACTGCTGTAATAGTCAGATTCGCAGGTTTCCGATGGTACCTGAACGCACCTTTTGTCATGATCTGTGTATTTTAGGACAATTGTAGCCCGCCAAAAAGTTTGCCCACGCAACCTAGACTAAAACAGGATAAAGTTAGTTTAGTCTCCATTTGAATTTCAAGTGACCCCACTTGGGGTCATGACCTCATGGTTGAAGAACACTGATCTATGAAGTGGATACCTTGGACTGTTTAAGATTGATTGATTTCATTCTGTCAAATGGATCTGTTGCTTACACAATTTCTTCTTCTTCAAAAAAAGATATTTGTTTTTAACTCGTATGTTTACAACAGAGGGTCATGAAAACCATACCAGTCTTTTTTTTCTTCTCTTTTTCTATTATGGCTTTGGGGCATTGGTAAGGACCTTTTCTACTAGAAGTCTGTTAATTAGTGTATATGTCATCTGGCCAGAGACAGCCAGGGGTCTTGGGAGTGGAGACACAACTGAGTGAAAGCCATCACACTCAGTCATCTCAACCCCCTTACTTCTTTAATTTTACTTCACTCCATTATTACACTCTCCTTTATTTTACCTCGTGCTGCAGCAGCAACAATGTCCTGTCTCCTTCTATTGTGACTGGATGCCATCTGTGCGTTCAGAGATAAACTAATCATGTCCAGCCTAAGGCAACCTCCTCTCTTGCATAATGAAAAACAAATCTGCATGATAATAAGTAAAATTGCTTTTGGGACATCGTTGAATTTAAATGGTGGTTCACCTGTTGTACTAACATAAACCTGTGTTCCAGTGGTGTCAAAATGTATGGCTCGTGGGCCAGAACTGGTCCACTAGGAGGTTCTATACGGCCTGCTTGATGAATGTTGCGAGTGAAAAACTGCACACTTCATGTCAAAGATGTGTTATCAAATGATTTGTGATAAATATAAATATTTTCTAATATACTTACACACTCCAGATTCCACTAAATTTCAGCTTGCTAACAAACTTTCCTTAGAGGTCAAGGTTCTAGATTCATTTTATTTTATATTGAAGAAGAACGGCTCTTTTGTTCTTGGTTGCAGACCCCATGGGTGTAGACTGATCCTTAGAGATTACATAAAACTTTTCTGTTTTTTAAGATGATATGAGACAAAAAAAAAAAAAAATCAAATAAAAAACAAATAGAAAAAAACAAAACATTGGGAGGAGCAGTAATTATATGCTGGTCTATACCAATTTAAAGGACTTGCAAAATATACTAAATGAAAAATATTTGTCTGTTAACACTGCAGTATGTCGTGTGTTATACCAAGATGCATTTTTTTTTCTGTTTACAAAAATAATTTGCCTGTACAAAATACAGTGTTTGAAGTGTCTGCTCACCGGTTCCGAGTAAGAGACCTCAAAATGGAAAATCAATTCCTGCGACCACAGCTGTGGACACATTAACTTATTATTTAGTGTGTGTCTAGACAAATAGACACATGAAACAGGATCACAAAGTGTGTTTGGATCTTTGAAAATAGCATTTAGAGTTTATAATATAGTTTAAAAAATGTTTTTATTAAAATTAAAGAGAAAAAAAATGTGATTAACAGGCTTTCGAAAGGCCGGCGACCTCCTTTCGCAATCCCACAGACAATGCTACAAAATATTTAAAAAAACAAACAAAAAAAAAAACCATAAACTTTTAGAATGTATTTTCCTACTTTTATTCACTTCAATAATTAATATATTTGTTTAGCATAAATATGGACATGTTTTCAGCACTGTAAAAACTAAATTTTGCGCTAGCTAGCTGCATGTTAGCTTGAAGAGCAGAGCAGCTTGCCAACAGGCACAAATCTGCATTGCCATGCAGCCGTCACACAAACGAAGAGAATCTGAAGATTACAGCAGTTATACTGTTTAGGACAAATGGTTTTATAAAAAATATATATAAAAAAATGTGATACATAGTAGCAGGTGGCAGCTTAACCATGTAGTTTACATTATGTTCATTGGCTTTTTATATCATTACATGAACTGCAAGGTACCCATGCATCTACAATTTTAATTGTACTCACAGTGACAAACTTATTATCATCACTGACAATTTATTAAAGTGCCTTATGTAAACTCCAGCATCACCTTTTAGACATTTTAGTCACACTGGTATTTTTCGCCTCAACCAATTTCTGAACAACTTTGTGATGCAACAGTCCTGTAATAACAGGGTAAGAAAGTACAATATATGCTACAACCAGTCCTTTCAGCGCTTTTGTTTTGTCAGCTCTGATTAAAAAGCAAGCAGCAACCGTCACATACACATGGTAGTCTCTCCTATTTTCTTTCTGATTGTTTTATCTACAAAGACTTGCTGTAAGTCTGTAAATTTAAAAAAAAAAAGAAAAAAAAAAAAGGTTATTCATTGCACACCTTTAGCTTGGGATTTCAGACGTTTAACTACCAAACTCGTGCCCTGAATGTTGTATCAAGTCTGTCTGGGTCTGCATTGCAGTTCAAAGTCATGACTGCAAAAGGGGGAACGATTCATTCACAACTCTGACTGAGGCTTCTGGCAAACCTTGGGGGAAGACCGTGGTATTCAGTGGATAAGAGGAACAACAAATGAAAGTCGTTCGTCAGTTCACTCCAAAATGGTCTGTGTGTGTGTGTATTTTTCTTAAGTGTTGTTTAGTTTTTCAACTTTTAAGGTTAATAATCATCCCCCAAGAGTAATGCTAATGAGTGCTAATTAAAATAGCACATTGATAAGAGCTGGCTGTATTGGTGGTAGTCAGGCTTGTTAGAATAAAAACGAGAAGGTAATTTCATATACTCTTATTGAGCTTGGAAAAATATTTTATTTTTAAGTGAAGTTGCTAAGTTGTATATATAATATTATACATGGAAATAAGTGATAGTGAATATGTGTGTTACAGCTTCACACGTTGCCTTCCTCAGTCAACT